TATGATTGAGTTCAGGATCCGCAGTTAGTTTTTTTTAATTGCTTCTAAGGCCATATCTCGCACTAACATGCATACATTCACTCTGTTTCTGTCGCCTCACGATTTTTTGACTACAGCCTCACTGAAATGAACTCATTACTATTCTTCTAATTTATTTAATTGTTTGTTTACGTAATTATTTTATTTATTATTTCTTTTCACTCCTACCCTTCCCTCTAGAATTTTGCATTGCATTATATATAAATAAACTTTGGTTGTTCTTACACATTATTAACTATCTTGTATGCATATCTCTTGTAGCACATCTACGCCCTTTGAGTTGAAAAAGCTTTGAAATATGTTATCTTTTAAAATTAATAATAACTTGACATTAATTAGGTATCTGATGAACAATGATGAGAGAAAAACACCAGCGCTTTTCTTATCCTGCAAATATGTTCATCTTCAAAATGAAAGTGTAGAATTTAGGAAGTGTTAAAATATAATTCCATATTAAATAAGTATTAATAACTGCACAACGTTTTGAGCACAATTTATTCTCGGTGTTGATTCGACTCAGTGACTAATCTCTCTTTACATCGAATTATATAAACTTTTTAATACTTTCACCCTGTTTTAATGATATTAGATAGTTGGAGGCAATCGGCCACAGGAAGCCTTGCTTGACCTAGGTTTCGTGCTAGTTGGCACTCACCAGTCAGCAAGGCGTATTTGCGACCCCACATTGAAGGAACTCATGTCCCTTCTGAGATTCGAACCCGCGTCACCCAGTGAGTACTGCAGTCAGAAACGTTACCACTGATAGCTATTCGGGCTCGCGATTGACCTCCTGTAGGACTGTAGTGGGTAGTTTGATTGGACACTAGTCAGTAACTAGTGTGACGTGTCTAGTCCTTTCTTTCTTTCTTTCACCCTGTCCCAATCTATTGTGTGATTACATGTAAACTAATGCACTGTAATGTCCGATCTTTTTTCTAGGTTAATTAACTTACCAGAGTTAAAGCATTCTAGCTCTAGCTTAATTCTTATATGTTGCGATAATCCAAATGATCCTGATCTATTAGTGTGATCTGTGTAATTGACCTCCAAGTCATAACATGGTAAATTATATTACTTTTGATAAAAAATAAAAGTTGTAAATTACGTGGTACTCAACGGCACAAAGCTAGAAATTTGATAAGATTAAAATTGCTATTGAGTGAGAATAAAGGTAGTTGAGTGTCAATTTAACAAGTGTGAAAATGTACAAAAGGAACATATGAGAGTGATAATAGTGAATTAATTATTAAAGTAAAAGCAAACTAAAAGTAAAATTAAGAAAAAATTAAATTTTTTTACAGAGAACGACTAGAGGAGGTTAAGACCAAGGTAGAATAAGAGACTGGACAAACTTTTTCTGTATACAGAGTTCGGGTTGTATTGACGAATGCCAGCGCCTCCGCCATACACAAAAGCCGAAACCTGACGCCCTTTGTACCATTTGGCCTCACCTTGTAGATGATCTTGAAAGACGACTCTGGTGGAGCTACGTGGCTTGAGTTCCCCAAGTGCTCGAGAATTGAGCTAGTAATTGTCTTGCATTGTCCTTTTGGTAACCATGCCGGATAATGTTCAGAGATATGTTTGGAAAGTGTGCGCTTTGTCCAATTTTAATCTTATCAAATTTATAACTTTGTGCCGTTGAGTACCACGTAATTTACAACTTTTATTTTTTTTACTTTTGATAAATTGGATCTATCAGGTCCTAAAGTCAACAAAATTAGTCTCTCAGTGAGTTAGTAATATTATCGAAGCTTTAAAATCCCTAAAGCCTCTGCAGTACAGTCGAATACAGAAGGAATATCAGAGGCCCTATGTAGGATTCTTAAAACTCTGGAATTAGGTAGGCATTTAAACCTACAAACTCACTCAGGGACAAGCTCTGTAGGCTAAAAGACACTACTGACCCAATTAGACAAAATATAATGTAATGTACTTTGCAATAACTGTAAGATCAACTGCATAGGTCAGACCAGTAGATCAATCAGGGGTATATACTGTCGTATTTACAACAATTAATGTCATTTTTGAGACAGCTAATAAAAAGTTTTGAAATAAAGAACTTTGCCTCCTTTTATCCTACAAGTATGTTCATTATTCTGTCGCGTCATCCTGGGGAGACTAAAATATGCTCTGAATATAGAACTCCGACTGGGAGAAGCTGGATTTACGATTAACAAATCATGTGCCGGTCAAACTGTAACTTTACGCATCATCACCGAGCACAACATAGAATACCAGTAAAATCTCTATCTCAACTTCCTAGACTTTGAAAGGGCCTTTGCCAGTGTTGACCGTGAAGTAATTTGGAAACTACTTCAACACTATGGCGTGCCCCGACTCTTAATCAACCTTATTCAACAGCTACATGACAATGGCAAGTGTCAAGTGATCTATAACGGAAAACTCTGCCAGGAGTAAGACAAGACTGCCTGCCTACTATCACCGATGATATTCCTAATTGAGATGGACTGGATTATGTGTTAGACTATGGATAGCGAGAAGACAAGAATACTTTGAACCGATAACAAGGCTCTAGAAGATTCAGACTGAGCAGACTTGTGTCTGATGTCACATAAACTCAAAGACTTACAGGCGAAAACCTACAAACTGGCTGAAGAGGCAGGAAGCGAAGACAGGACTTCAAGTGAACATAGAGAAGACAGAAGTGATGAAAATAACCAACCAACAAGGAGCACCAATCACTATAAACGGAATTAATCTGAAAGAGGTCACTCCCTTCATTTATCTAGGCAGCACCGTTTCAACTGGTGCGTCGGTGGCACAGCGTTAAGATGCTCGCCGACCACGCAGGTTGTCCGGGGTTCGATCCCCGGCCGCCGACTCACTCCTTTACCTCGCTAAGCCAGTAATAAGACTGGTAAAGAGGGAACGTTGGGCTGGGCATGAGGCTAGCAACCCCATCCCGTAAAGAATAAACACCACTGCTACTGAAACTTCAGGCCTCTAGCTAGAAGCCCTATGTTCCACTGGGAACGTAAAGGAATAAAATAAAATAATAATTAAAAAAATAATCGTTTCAACTACAGGCGACAGCACGGATGAGGATATCAAAACCAGAATTGGAAAAGCCAGACAGACCTCCACCACTCTGAAACAACCAGTTTGGAAATCTTCTGTACTCAACATAAAGAACAAAATTCGGAACTCTGACGACGAACCAACCAAGAACCAGTCAATCAGCAAATAAGCTGAAGAAAATGGAATTGAGGAGGATACACGCTAAGGAAACCACCAGGTGACATCATACATCCGGCAAAAGCCCCAAATGGAACCCTGTCGTCCGAGAGTGACATGGAGGAGATCGTGTGACCAGGAGATGGGAGCCTATCGGCAATCGTGGGGCCAGAAAAAGAGGACTGCAGAGAAGACAGTGAAGTGGAGATGTGCTGTTCCACTCGGAACCGAAGGGAACAATAATTACAATACAACAGTATCAATAAAAGAAACCCTACAAAACGCAAGAAGACAATATTTTCCAAAGTGAAGAACTATTTATTACTCTTTTTTTATAATATTGTTATTTTCTTTGGTAGCTAGAAAAACAAACAAATAGCAATAGACTAGTATAAAAGAAAGAGAGAGAGAAAGGATTGCATTTGAAATTGCACAGAAACGCACACACACACACACACTAACACACATTCACACCGACATCCACTTGATCATTGAACATTATCATTGGAAAATTTGCAAATCTCACCTCAAAAAACAACAACAAACAAACTGAAAGTTGCGAGAGAAATCATCTTTGGAGAAAAAGGAATACAAATTAGGCGAAAAAATTGGTTTGGCTTGGCTTGGTTTAGCTTGGAGTGCCGTGGCGTGGCATGGCGCAGCGCAGCGGAGATACAGATGCAAATGTGTACAAATGCATGTCACTTAGAGAAAGGGAAAAACTGCAATCTAAGGTAAATAAAGTAAGACAGGCACACATACAGACAAACAGTAGCAGAAACGGTCAAAGACAAGGAGTAGTAATAATAGTAAGAATGATACTTGAGATTATTGAAAAATACAAACTCCAAGCTAAACATTATAAATTTATATCTATATATAGAGTAATAACAACAGGATATAACTAATTTTTTTAATTATTTCTGTTAATCAGTTGAATCACGATAGTTTTTTTTGTAAATCTAACATCCTAAACAACGTATAAATTGACTCTAAAAAACAAAACAAACAAACAAAGGCTGTCCGTCTGAGGCGATGTTGAAGGCGGTTGTTGCTGGGGGACCGGCAGGCGTTGGTTGTCGCAATGATCAAATACAGTGAAAAGAGCTATCCACAATTCCAGTGAACAGGTATGCAGGTATGCAGAGAGGTAATAGTATTGTCTGTTGCACATTCACATTCACACGCACACACGTACATACACTAACAAATTATACAGACGACAACTGAAGAGGAATAACCTTTCCCCTTCATGGCTGTTACTTTCCCTGATATTTTTGAAGACGGTGGAATAAAGAAGGAATAACTAGCAGAGCCGACATACACACACAAATGTTTACACACCCAAACTAAGTGTCATGAAAACAGTCAACAGTATCGTTTGATTGTTAATTAAGAGAAAGAAAAAAAGGCAGCGACAATCACAATGAGCAACACTACACTACAACACTCAGGCGTCAGGCAGTACTTCCGATTTGACCAACTCCTTATTCAATTCATCTTGATAGACTACAGGTGTAGTAAACAGGCATGATGTTCGACACTTCAGGTATATTAATATTGTCACACTGATAATCAGCAGAAAGCAAGAAGCCAGTACAGTTGTGATAATTAAAATGATTGGCATAGAACGTACACCATTCACTAGAGAAGAAAACGATGATTTATCCAACCAGTACAGAGAGTTAATCAATGATGCTTTGTCTGACTGATGATTACTCATTATTAGTAGTGAGGTGAAGCGATCGAGTGATGATTGGCCATCATTCATCATCATCATCATCATCGGATAAGTCGATTGACGCCAAGTAAGCCATTAAACTGTGTATATGAATTGGACGAATCTCTTGAGTGTAATTCATACGGTAACCAGGATTTGACATTGGCCCGTATATGAACAATGGGATATGCATATCTGGCAGATCGGGATCATAACCGTGCATACCTTTAATTTTATCTAAATGATAATGACTCATATTCAGCGGCCAAACAGTTGAATTGAATATGTATTCAGGTGAAGCGAGTAACAGAATCGGTGGGAACAACAGATTATTATTATTATCAGCACCGCTTTTCATTTCCCAGTGTAGGGGGACAGTTGATGAATTGTATACAGTGAAGGCAGCCTTGTTTTGTTGACTGATCAAACGATTATACACCTAGGATGTAACAAAGTTAGGAAAGTGAACATAAAAAGCATGACAGACAGATTAGCAGAAACAAATCAACTAGCCACCTTGATGATGAAATAATAGAACATATCTTACTTGCTGTATGAAATGTTATGATAAAATTCGGTGAAAATTTGTACGCTTCAATACTTTGTCACCATCAATTACCTTATTAACAGCAGAGCAAGAAAGATATGTACGGATGACCTCTTACAAAAGGAATTTGAATATACATTCACGATTCCTTGATGGAGATGGGCTGGTTATCCGAGTAGTTTCATAAAGAAACATATGAAAACATCGGGGAAAAAACCGGAGACTCTGACTGCATGGAAGAAACCTCTATTTATCAAGTTACAATTTAATGGTGACTTATCAAGTGAGATTCTATTCCAAAGACTTTCAAGGAGTATACGAAGAACATTTTATGCAGCACACCTATGTTTGTCATTCTCTAGCCGACGAATGATTGGGACGCAAACGAAGGATAAGCTGGATAGTTTTGCCACATCTATGTGCATTTATCAATTCAACTGCACCTGCGGTGACAGTTATATTGGGTGTACTACTAGACAGCTTAGCAACGTGTTAGTGAACATCTCCCATCGTGGTTTGGTAAAGGAGAGACAAAAACAATCCGTAGCTCAATTTTGTCACACTTAATTGATAGTGGTCATGTAATCGAGAAAACGAGAGCCTTCAAAGTAATTCATCGTATCCCACCGAATCTTTCCAATACACTTCGTATTCGTTTACTGCACACAGCTGAGGCGATAGGCATTCGAACTATTAAACTTAAACTATGTATTCAAAAAAGTGCGTACAGCCATTATCCCTCCCTTGGCCTATTAAGACATAACCAACTAATGACTTCTACACCACCCTTTGTTTATACTTTCAACCCTTTTCTTATCATCCCTTAATCTTATCTTCATTATAAACGTGTTTCATTTCCTTCCCTTACAATCTAACATTACTTAATCGGTTCATTTGTTTTACTAGCCTTTATCGACTACTTCCACGTGAACAGTTGTTTGTTTAATCATGCTGTTTTTCATTATTCGTGTTATCACAGATTGTCTCACTTTTTCATCCTTATGATTGATAAGATCATTTTTATTATTACTATTATTATTATTATTATTATCATTACTACTATTATGACTAATTGCACAATTTATATTCACCGTCGTATTATTAACATAAGACTGTGAGTTGCACTTGTAGGAAGTAAAGGTTCAAGTTCAGGTTACATCAGTTACAACAATATATGAATTTCCCGAAGGTTGCGCGACACCTTTGGAGTAGACATGACATTCGGCTATCGATTACATGACATGTATGCTGACGCAGCAGTTCGCTCTGTCCTCTCCTTTCATGGCTGAGACATGCCTATTGAAAGTGAAAGCCTTGAAGATGTTGGTTGTCTTTGACAATAGGTGATTGCATTCTATCTCTCATGTTCATTGTACCATATGGTGAGTAATATTGAGTTTGGTGCGCCGGTGGTACAGCGGTTAGGATGCTCGCCGACTATGCACATGGTCCGAGGTTCGATCCGCGGCCGACGCACTCCTTCACCTCACTAAGCCGGTAATAAAAAAGGTTGGTAAAGAGGGAAGGTTGGGCATGAGGCTAGCAACCCCATCCTGTAAAAATAAATACCGCTACAGAAAATTCAAGCCTCCAGCTTGGAGCCCTATGTTCTACTGGTAACGTGAAGGAATAAAAAAATATTGAGTTTAGGTATACTGTTAGATAAGGAAGCAAAAGTTGATCGGCGAGGTTGGGGAACTGCATAGATTGAGGTGTCAAAGTTCCATGTAGAAGCTCAGTCAGTCAGAAGAATTTTACATCAGAATTTCAAATAACCGTGTTAAAACTATGAATTGAAAGAATACTAGTGTTGTATGGCTGTACAGCCCAGGGGGCAACCGCTTGAGTCCTGTCACACACACACACACACACACACACACACAGGTTGACCGGAGTGGTTTTCGGAGTTATGATTGTATGATTGAAGACCCAACCGCCGGGATCTGAAATTTTCAGAATCGAATTTTACCAACTCCCATCCCCAAAGATAAGCAGAAGAAAAGCTGGTTTGCTGATCACCTGAGTGAAACACCCAGCTGCTGCTGCTGCTCTTACAACCCTACTCGCCATCAGTATGACTTTACCTTCAGGCTTCAAGCATAATGGTAGGACCGGCAGTAACAAATTTGTCTCAGCCAGTGTTGCAGCTCTCCGTCAGTAAAAAACAAGAGGAAATATGAAATACTAATTACATATGAGTTGTGTTACGTTACTTGAACTAAAACAACTTCAGCTCAAGATTTGATGGAGAGAAATATTTCAGGCTCTCTGGTTCACAAGAATTTTAGAATGACTTGGTCTCAACAAAATAACACACAATTAATAGTGTTCTCTGAGCTGGTTGGTTTAGTTGCGGGGCTTTCGTCGTCCTTCTGGACAACATCTTCAGCGCAACATTTAGCATAAAGTGAAATGATTTAAATTTCTTCATGAGTGATACAATTGCGTCTCCTGGTAACCATCTTTGCATATGTATTGACCATTTTCTATTGACTTGGATTTTAAACTTTCTCGTCACCTGATTTACTTTTTATTAGTTGGTATATTTCGTCTATATTAATGTGCTTGTTAATGGCCTTTTCGTTTGAGTACCAGGCTTCTAGGAATTCCCTGACTGCACTTTTGGTGTTTCCTCTGATTAAGATTTTGACATTATCCCAATCAAATTGATGTCCATAATTGCCTATATGCATTGATACTAAAGAATACATATCGTGTCTTTTCACGGCTGATTTGTGTTATTGGATTCTAATTCGAAGGGGACGCCCACTTTGGCCGATGTAATGCTTGTTGCAGTTCATACAATTTATTTTGTAAATGCTATTAATTTTATCTCCTTTTTCTGTTGGATCTTTTGGTTTGCATAATATCGAATTAAGCGATTCATCAATTCATCAATTTTTGAAGGGGATTACGAGCAATCAATCATCAGCAAAATAATACCGTATAACGCTGTGAGTTCCACCATTTTTCAATCAAAATCGCCATTTGCAATCTGCAAAGCACTAGGGGAAATTCCACTACAGTTTTCAGTGAAAACTGAAATTATTCAAATCAAAATATTTGATTTGTCAATTAAGAAAGCAAGCATACACTACTGACTGATTGAGATGACTGGTTGGATACTACTCACACATCAACTACTAGTGGTGCTTACTAGCCAATCAGATCTAAGCGATCTAAACATCGGACGGCAGTTTCGCTCGTTTATTGCCGAGCTCATCAGCGATGTTTACCCCCCGGTTTGACTTCGCTAAGAGACTCGAATCAGTTCAAACCACCACCCACCCCCCCCCCCAAAAAAATTCGCGATTTGCAATTTACACAGCTGCGAGGTGCACTCTAACAATACTATTGAACAGTTTAGGATAAAATACATGAGATATTCAATCTTATGGTTTGCTGACGACGGCCAACCGATAATAAAACTGATGGTTCTCTAACCGATGTCAGCTAATGGTGAAATCCTGTAACCAATGAATAGCGACTGGTCGTGTTCTTGTAGGTAGTTACCTGGCTTCTAGTGGGAAGTCGTAACCAGTGGGGTTCGGTCGGTTGGGTGTGAGGACAAATACTCGCCGGTGACAATCGCTAGTGGTCACGCAATATCGTGAATTAGCAGAAGTTGGAATTCATGCACTGGCCATTGGATCGGGTCACAGTGGCTTAATGGTCTACGAGCTCGCCCTGTAACCAGAAGGTCCTGGGTTCGAATTGTGGCAATGAGTGCGTACTGATGAAGAGTCCCAAACTAGGATGACAAGACAGCTGTCCAGTACTCCTTGCAGGTTTTCCAGTGGTTCTCTAACCGATGATGTCAGCTCACGATGAAATCCTGTAACCAATCAAATCCCTGCAGGGCCAACATTCGATAATAAAATCTTCACAAAAATACAACTCTTTGACAAAGCATAGAACTTACACGTGCTTCAAAATTAGGCTTAGGCCATAACCACATTGTACTGCCGCGATTGAGTACCCTGCTTAACTCCGATCTGAAAACAAGCCGAGAAAAGGGGGAAAATCACTTTAACGACAGTTTTGTGCATGCAATTCACAGAGATGTCAAAAAGGATCTAGAAACACGAATCACAACATGTGTGATGGGTTGCATCGTTAATTATAACTGAAGAAATAACAATAAACAAAAACTTCATAAAACAGGAACATTTTTTCAGCAACAGTTCTGGAATTTTGATCATTGAAAAGCTGGGGAGTAACACCTTAGGTAACAAAAGATAGGCCCTACTTAAATTACTCAATGTACATTAGCTTCATCAACTTGTTCACCCTATACGTTAGGTGGGATAAAAAAATGCATTTCACAAACTTCGTCCATCCATCCAACCAGTAGCATAATTGATAAAAGTTAGCCAACAAGCTGAACGAGGATTTCTCACTCCCAAAGATAATAGTTTGTTCGCTACTAAAGCAATGTAGAGAGAAAGATACTGTTTAGTCCAAAGGTAACATCTTTCCCTTTTGAAGAGGAGGAACAAATATTTCGTCAACATGCTCGTCAGCTACGCAGATGGTTTAAGTTCGTTTCTCCTGATTGATATGCACTAACAAACCTTACTCCTACCTTCCTAACTAGTACTAATCTCGGGAAAGAAGAGGGAGGCTGGGCATGGGGCTAGATATCCCCGACACCATAAAAACAGCACCACTGCTACTGAAATTTCAAAGTCCTAAATGCCACTCGGAACGTATAGAATTAAGGTTGCTACAAACCACACTCTGTGTGGAAGACAAATACTAGAAAGTGCTGTTATCCGAATCGACGTAGTCAGAGACTAAGTTATACGTTGAATTCGATAGCTGAAAGTCGACTGCTCAAGCTAACGACCTACACACTAGTAAAAAAGTACCTGCAACTACATACTACTACACATGTGAAGCTTAACGGGATATCACATTCATACTTAAAGTGAATTGTAAAACTTAACAAACAGAATCACCGGTAACTATCACATGATCAATCGGTTTTATGAAATGTCGTATTTAACCCAGAGAAACTAAAAATAACATTTCTTTATCTACAAGGTGAACAAATTCAGTGCGAGTGACCCACGAATTTTATGAGGCAAAATAGACACCTTTTGATAACGGTTTAGATCGAAGAGAGTTGGAGGTGATCAGATCAAAACCTGGAATCGATTCATAAAGACATTGACAATTGGTTTGAGACGGACACGTTGGGAGGTGTAAACTGTCTCGTTGGGGAACTTGGGATGCTAAGAATCAATGGTTGGAGAGTACTGGTGATAGGGCTCAAAATCATTCTTCATGGCATAGATGCATTCACTCCTTGTAATCTCCCAAATCCATTGAACCCTTATATCTTGTCGTGTTACTATTTCTTTCTCCAGTCAACTTCTGTTAATTATAGTTCTCTGGAATAATTGCCCCCCCCCCCCACGCTTACTCTAACTCTTTGTGCGCCAAGTGGAGTGGAGTGTGATAGTTTCAACTGGTGCACTTTTGTGAAAAGTCATACGTTGAAAACCAGTCAATTGTATATATATATATATACATCAGAATTATCAAACTTCCTTTACCGTTATTTGAAATCTGCTGTTCCGGAAGAGATCCCTAGTTATCACGGGCTATGAGCCATACTTATTGTGTGTGCGTGTCTATGTGTGTGAGGGTTGATGATCCTCTTGCCAGTGGCTTAGGGGCCAGAGTAAATGAAGTGGGATTCGAACCCATGACCAACCGGTTGAATGCCTAGTGTTTAAGGCCAATAAGACACATTGGCCACATTGTTTAGCCAACTATTACATCATTAAAAAATGGGAACAAAACTTCTGAACAAGCATATACACATGGAGGAAGAGAGAGGGAGAGAGAAGATTAAGTGATTGATATATGGAATTAGTCATTCACAAAGAAAAACATCTAGAAAACAGGAGGAGAAGGAGAAGCATCAACCAACACAATACAGCAAGAAGGATTGTTATTTCTTTTCGTTGGCACGCATGCATGCATGCCTATACACAAAAAACAAATAGTTTGTATATTCACTACAAATAACGAAGAAAAAACCAATACATTGGATCAATAAACCAATCCTGGTCATACTAACTTGCATCAAAAGATTTGTAAAAACAAACGAAAAAAAAATAAATACAATGCAATCAATAGGAAATCGATAAAGCCAATAACTTTTTCCCAATGTCCCAAAAATCCATTTTTCTATTAGTACGCATTAAAATTATTCTCAAGTGTTGACAGAAAACAAAACATTTCCAATGAGACTTGATTCTGAAGTTCAGTACGGGCTTATCTCATACTGTCACTATATACCATTATTTCCTTGGGTTTCGGGTGTAACATACTGGCTCGCCATTTGCCCACAAAGCTCCTATTTCCTCCGTCAGACGATCTTCTCCACATCACCAGCGGACACACATCCGACACGCATGGCACCCCACTGGAGTTCCACTCGAAGGATTGGCGTACAATGTCACTCAAAGGTCTCCTCAGCATATTTCCGACTCATCTCCATTTTCTTCAGTATATTTGTTGGGCGATAAGTCCTTGGCTGGTTGGTTCTCTACATTGTCAGAGTTCTGTGCTGACTATCCTTTCCTAGTCAGCCATCTTTTCTTCAGTATTGAGTCAGAGAAGGCAGCTATTGATGGAGGCATGGAGTCTGTTGGAAATGCCTTTCATGATACAACCCCCAAATTTGTGAATTATATAGAAGCAGTGACTTAACACTGGTGTTGAAAATCTGGATCTTCTTTTTCGCACTGAATACAGTTGATATCCGTACTTGGCTTTGACATCTTCAACTACGCTACCTGTATAGTTGAAACAATGCTGCGCCAGTAAGTCAAAGAAACAACTTCCTTTAGATTTCTCATGTTGATGGTGATTGGTGCTCCTTGTTATTGGTTGGTTGTTTCATTAACAAACCAACACTGATCAGTGAGTGAATTACAGGAAATTTAGAGACTATTAGGAAGCTGTACCGTGGTAATGTTTCTTTGTCACCGCTCATTGTTGGTTAAATTATTCAGCTCTTTGTCAATGAGTCACACTACATTTACACCATTGATATAAGTATAAAACTTGGTCACTGTGGTAGAGTATAACTCCATTATGGATAAGATTTTATTTTGATAAATTACACAGTGGTGTTATACAGTAATATGAACTGATGACCACGTTTCGAGCACAAACTATTGCCACTCATAATCATATCAAGTTACTCACTCACACAACTTACTTTCCTTCATTTATATACATGTGTGGAATCGATTAGATATTGGAATAAAAATCAATATGAGATAATGTACATTCAGAAATAATAATATGAGTGTTATTAATCAATTACAATCAGATGGGAAATAAGACGAGTGTTTTTACAAGTTACTTATTATGACTATAAAAACACTCGTCTAATTTCCCATCTTGGTTGTATTTGATTAATAACAGTCATATTGTAACAACAGAAGACAAGGGCCAGGCAACAGATCCTTTATTAAGGAAAATCAACACATTCAGAGATTTTAATGTACATTATTGTAGATTATTGTTAGTAGAAAATACAGTCTTTTGATTGGTTGTTTGTCACAGAAAGTTAACCTTGCATCTCTTTGTGGCTGTGTCAGATCATCCATATGCTAACTGTATTCGCCTACACAAAACCTTTGTTCTCATTTTCTCACCACCAATATTGGGGACATAAACATTGACGTCAATTACTGTCTACCAACTTTGGCTAACAGCCAGCTCTCACCACAATATTATCATTTCTGGATGAACATTATCCTACATTGATTTTTATTCAAATATCTAGTCAATTCCACACATGTATATAAATGAAAGTTGTGTGAGTAACTTGATATTATAATGAGGGGCAATAATTTGTGCTCAAAACGTCATCAGTTAATATTACTGTAGTAACACTGTGTGACTCTTCAAAATAAAATCTTATCTATAATGGAGTTACATTTACATCACACTGGATAAATGGGTGATACTACAACCCACCCACACCCTTCAAAAGTACGCTATTTTAGTCTGGTGTACATGAGAAATCTGCCTCGAGTAACTGAGTATGCAACCGACCAACCAGCAACCCAGAGACTGAATGGTGATGTGTACCAGGGAAGCTTCTCAAAAATTGGGACAAGTGCTCAAAATGAGTGATCTCGGTTCGTGGTGAAACATACTTTCAGATTTCAAAAGGAATGGAAGCGCTATCGTCATTGAAGTTTCAAAAGTGAAATTACAAGTGACAGATTAATAGAAAAACAAATAAAGAAAGCCTCAAAACACACAATATGGAAATACAGTCATACGACAATATAAATAAATGAGATACGATAGAGGGAATACTCGTGAAATCAAGGCTAAATAAGAGTGTTTAAATTTCCAAAGTAGTGACGACTGAAACGTTTTTGGATCATGTTGTCACGACTATCGAACAAAAATGATGCTTAACACATCAAAGGATCCAATGCTGCAACCTCTACCTCGTCACACAACAGAATTCAAAGCTGAAAAGAGTTACTTTTCATTGCAATTAGAATCTTTATTTACTGAATCTATTCTGCTAAGGGTTGATTCAGTGGAGGATTATATTAAGAGCACTAATTTGGCACTAAGATTACGCCTTTTATGTTCCAGATTATAAACCAAACGCAATTTATGAGAGTTGGTGATACTTTAGACTGAAGTAGGTGAAGCAAGACTCGAAACCGGGACTCACAGACTGGGAGTTAGGTGTATAACAATGTATGACTAACAAGTAATTATTATTACTATTATTATTGGGTGCCATCGCGCGTCAGGCCAGTGCTCGAGTGAAACCCGAAAGGGAAGCGGCGAGTGAGACGTCCAAGGGTGACATGGAGGAGATCGTGTGAAGAGGAATTGAAACAGTATGTATTAACATGGACGCAGGTGAAAAGTACAGCAGAAGGCAGCAGCAAGTGGAGACTTGCAGTTGAAGCCCTATGTTCCACTAGGAACCCAA